TAGAGACAAAGTATATTTTTTTCAGAAATAGGACCCTCATGAAAATACAAAATAAACACCTCACAGGCTTTATGCATTAATAAAGGAACCGGAAGGATGATAAATATGGTACAAAGGAGAATTGAAAAGACAGAGGTTTATATGTTCAAAAAGGAAAAGCACGATGAAATAAGTTTGGTAAATTCAAGGCAAAACAGGGCGACAACCAAAACCTTTAGGGTTATCCCTTCTATAGCACAGAAATTATTTGCATCTCCACTGGCCGGAAACCTCCAAGTTAACATGTCTGGGCCTTAAGCAGCAGTGCATTTCCTGGGAGAACTGACTAATCCTTGGGTGGGCCCTTTAGATAAAGGGAACTTTAAATAAAGCTTCAGTTCGGATATTGAAAGGATGAGGAGCCATCCTTTTGCCTTGTTTGAAAGTGTTAGGTAATTTTCCTTAACATAGTCAAACACTGCATACATCCCACCCACATTAAGGGACACAAACCCAGTCTGGTGAGAGCTGATAGAATAAAGAGCCATAAATAGGCTTATAAAGAGCCTGTGGGATAAAAAGATGGGGGTTTAAAGCAAGTCCAAATTTCTGCCTTAGAGACACAAATAAATGGGTATCATTGAAAACCTAAAATTGTGATTTTGCTCTAAACATACAGATTTTTAAAGACGTTTAAATTACCCTTAGAATCATAATCTAGATGTAGATAGACTTAATTAGGCCTGAACGATTCTCATACCAAAGCCCGTTAATCTGGTTAAATGAAACCATAGGGGCATGTGATCATTATTTTTCTGTCGTCATAGGTTATGCAGGTTACCACAGCCCACAAAATGTATGCTAGCCTATTACGTTACTAAAGTGACAAACATTATTGCACTGATAAGGCGTAATCAGAGTTGGCCTAACTTTACGGAATTTAGCACAGTTTACATATAAAGCACTCTCCAACTGATAGTAGTTTTCAAAATAGATCTGATTTTTAAAATTTCATAACAGGTCATTTGTAATACCATCCTCACTACTCAGATGGTTTTTGAAAAGTGTCCTCTTGGTTAGAGAGAAATAAAAGAAAAAGAATATTATAATAGAACAAAGCCTGCTCTGAATAGCAGGTTCCCAACGGAATTCCATTTTCTGAGTAGAGAGCAAGATCATCTGATTAAAAAGCTCAGATTCTCTGAAACTTTCTATTGAAGGCTGTGGCGTGTAACATGAGCACATTTCCATAGTAAGGTTATTCAGCTGTGGAAAGCACAAGAACTCACACAAAGCTCTTCCTTTAAAAGTTGAATAAAATCTAAGACACCTCATGTTGGTGCAGAAATGTGAAATCTAAGGTGTCGCTCGTCAACTGCTTGGCTGTGTCTTTTCCTACAAGAAAGCAAAGACAAACATTGGAGAAAGTATCGTAACTCAAAAGCATGACCAAAGCTAAGAAATGTAAGTAACTGTTTCTCAGAAACACAGGAACATAGATTCTGCCGGCTAATCCAAATAGATAATTAATCATGTTCCTGACAGTGTGGAATGCAGATTTGCCTGCTATTTGCAGAGACTTTAGCAGGCAGGACAACAGCTTCCTAGAATAATGGAATCTGGTGTGGCTTGAGGGGCTATAAGTCAGGAATTCAAAGATCTACAGATTTCTTGGACCAGTAAAATTTCAAAATAATGCTGAAGATCAACATGGTATTAATAACTTTTTCTTTTGACAAAGAATAATATTGGGAAAAAACACTATTTATAATTGCCAGCATTCATAAAAGATATGGTTTCACAGACTATTTTTTAAGGCTAGTTCATAATTGGATCCACCAGCGGAATTGGGGTCAGATACCTTTAGGTAACTTAACTTCTTTCTCAAACCTTTTGGTAGTGACTAACAGACACATTGAAGCACCTGCCAAGGCTGATCAAAATGAACGTTACTCCTGAGACAGGTAAATGTGACAGGACTAGGCCGTGCCTTTAGATAGGGGCTTGGTTCCTGGGAGTATTCTTTGGGATCATCTTGTCTTAAGGAGCATTTGTTCAAATGGCAGGGAGATAAGAGATTTAAGCATTGATGAAATTCTGAAGTGTGTTTTCACCTTTCTTCTGCTCTACCTGAACTTTAAATAAGAATCAAACCAATTAATATTCCCTGAATTCCTATTACTAAGAGTGCTGGGCTAAGCTTTGGAGCAAAAATTTTCAAACTTAAGTCTTCCTAAGTATAATCTGAGAACCTATGAAAAGGGCAGATTCCTGGGATTTAGTGTCATGCCTTCTGAATAAAGTATGAGATGGCAGCCCTGGAATCTCAATTTTTCACAAGCATAACATGTGATTTTGATGCACATGGTCAGTAGACCCCATCTTTAGAAACACTAGTCTAGGAGCTATAAAAAAAGGAACATTGCCAATTTCAGTAGTGACATGCTAAATAATCAGATCAACTTTCCTGCTGAACATATGTTTCATCCCATCAAACTCACGGCTGGATTATCCCCCAAATCGGTGGCAGGGTTGTACCCACAAGGGAATGCCCCAAACCGTCCTAAGATGGGGCAGGCTGGGATTCCAAAGAAAGAAGCACTAAACAGCAGGGTGATCAATTCGAAGTATTTATTAAGGGAACTTACATAGAGAGGGCTGCAGCGTGTCCTCTCAACAGCCAGAGAGAGAAAAGGGATGCTCTACCTAGGGATGTCCGCAACAAGGAGCTCAGTGTACAGAGTTTACATGAGGGTTCCAGGAATTTGGCTCAGGGCCAAGGCCAGTTCCTTTCAGTGTTGTGGGCAACAATCTAGATCTCTTTATCAGTGCGTGGGAATGTTTAAGGCCGCAGTTTAAGTTCAAGCCTGCTGAGAGGAACCTGCAGCTGGCTGAGTCAGACAGGGGTCAAGGCACTCTGTGATTTTCGGTCAGGTCACAGAAAGAAAGTGGGGCGGGGGGAAACCCTACAGCATGATATATTAAACATCTTCCGTTGGTTAGTTTATGGTGTTATAACACCAAGGTCAAGGTTTCTGATCCCCAGCTGCCCCCCAAAATAAATAAACATATTCTTACAAGCATCAAAAAGCTAACAAACTAGTGATAAGTTACTGGCATGAGATACAGAAGAGAATGGAAATCCAGAGCGGTGAGCTGGCCCTCTGGACCATCTTTGCCTTGGGGTCATTAGTTGATCCAGAAGAGACAACTGAGAGGGCGAGCTGTCTTTTTAGCAACCTTGTGGGACTAGGGGGATAAAAGTCAGAGATCAGGACCTACTAAATGAGAGTTTTCTCTGTGAATATCCTGTTCTTTCTCCCCATGGTATACTGGATATTGAGTAGTGGTAGAGGAATAACGTTCTATTACTATATAGATTGCTGGATCACCAGATCCTAGATCTAGACCTGATGGAGAAAACTGCACACTATCCAGAGAGGCTAACCTTTCTTTTGCACTCGTTAAATGGATTGTACTTTCTCTCCTGAGAGATGAGTGTATTCTATGTGTGGAAATAAGGGTGTGCACGAATATTTAGATGAGCAGGGGTTTGGAAGTGTCAGATTTTGCTCATTGTTCCATGTGTCCATTTTCCCTTTCTACTCCCCTGTGTATGAACTCATCACATCACTACCCAGCAAGATAGTGCATTTCCCAGTCTCCCCTGAACGTAGGTGTGGTCATGTGACCAAGTGTGTGCCAACGGGATGTGAACAGAACTGATGTGTATTTATCTCCATATAGATAAAGCTGCTTGCCCTGAGTTTTCTTTCCACTGGTCAGGAAATGGTAACAATTGGAACAATCCCTTAGGCCCCAAGAGGGATGCCTAGGATGGAAGAACTGGCCACCAGCCTAGGCTCCTACATGTCCTCATGGAACACAGCTGCCCTGCACACTCCAGACTGTTACATAAGAAAAAAAGAAACTTCTGTAGCATATAAGCTGTTGTACTTTGGGGTTATTTTTTTGGGGGGGTTGGGTTTTTTTGTTTTTTGCTACAGCAATTTTGCCTGTACTCTAATCAATACACAAATGTGTTACGGAGTAACAAATGCCAGTTGGGAAGGTGGGGGTGAAGAGGAAGCTATTGCTAGACTTAATAGTAAGCTCAGGAGTCAGGATTTGATGGGCTTGGTAATGTGAAGAATCACAGAGGGACCGGGCAGATAGTGATGCCATTAATGGTGTTGGAGAATCTGATGAAATGGTCTCAGCAACCTCTTGTATGATGTTTATGTTTCTATATCTCTGGGCGTACTTCTCTCCAAAATTCCATGACCATATTTCCAAGGGCTATGTAGACTCTCTCTAGAGGTCAAATAGACTCCTCAAGTTCAACATTTCAAAGCTTAGCTTCCGTCCCCCCAAAAGCCTTTTCTTCCTCCTGTATTTCCTATTCTGGTTAAATAACTGCACCTTTCAATGTCACCCTTCACCCAGTTGTCAGGAGAAACTAAGATCACCCTCGATTCCTCCTTCATCACCTCGCAGTATCTCATAAAGATCACCTGCTTCTGGGACACACACATATTTATTTAAGTTTATTCTTATTGTTTTTGCTGAACCATTTGAAAATAAGTTGCAGACATTATGATACTATATCCTGAAATATAATACTTTAGCCTCTATCTCTTGAGAACAGAGATATTCTCCTACAAAGCCACAGTATTATTATATCTGAGAAATTTATCATGAATGCAACAATATTATCTAGTGTGAAGATTACATTAAAATTGCCCAATTAGGGCCGAGCCCGTGGCACACTCGGGAGAGTGCGGAGCTGGGAGCGCAGCAGCGCTCCCGCCGCGGGTTCGGATCCTATATAGGTATGACCGGTGCGCTCACAGAGCTCACTGGCTGAGCGCGGTGCAGCCCGTCTCAAAAAGGAAAAAAAAAAAAAAAAAAAAAATTGCCCAATTATCTCCAAATTTCCTTGTTAACTGTTTTTCGCTCTAATCAAGGACCATGACCTGTACTGTCCAGCTGCCAAAACCAAAATAACAAATGTTTGGGGTGGCTGGTTAGCTCAGTTGGTTAGAGCATGGTGTTGGTAACACCAAGGTCAAGGGTTCGTATCCCCATCCCAGCCAGTCACCAGAAAAAAAAATTACTTGGATTAATGCTCCCTCTCCAATGTGATTATGTTATTTATTTGAAAAATGCTTTAGGGGCTTGCTGGTTAGCTCAGTTCGTTAGAGCACAGCCTCATAACAAATGTCCAACAAATGTATGAAAAAATGTTCATTCTCTCTAATTAAAAAAAAAAAGAAATTGAAAAATGCTTTAGTTCATTTGTTTCTGTTTGCATTTCATTTTAAGGTCCCCCCAATTGTTATGTTAAGCCACTAAATGGTGCTTTATCATGTAGCGATGGATAACCCAGACATCATTGCATCTCATCAGGAGGCATGTGATGTCAGTTATTAGTGACGGAAGTTGGATCATTTGGATGAGATATTATGTATCAGACCTCTTCATTATAATTAATAAGTAATTTCTGGGGTGTCTCATCTTATTTTTACTTTTTATTTTATGTTTTGGCAGCTGGCCGGTACGGTCATCTTATTTTTTTAGTAACTCTTCCTATATCGACTTAAGACCACAATAAACACCATGACTGAGGACCCTATTTCAGATTCACATTTTTCTCTGTGGAAATGTCTGTCTTGATGCCATAGGAATACAGAGAAAAAGCAGGCATCTATTGGCAGATTACTCAGCAGGTGGGCTCCACAGCTGGAAGAGAAGGTGGAAATACAGCTGTGCTGAAACACTTGATTCTATTCCTAGTTCCACAGAGTCTGTGCTTATAACAAAATGCTACAAACTCTGTGGAGTTTTGCCAACTTGTAATCCTGATCCCAAATCATGAGATTTGGTGAAAGAAAACAAGAAAAGAGCAGTCTTTTTATTTTAAGTTTTTCATATAGAGTTAGGACTGGGTGTGTGCTAAGAAAGAAGTCTGCTTGTGTTTTTTTTTTTTTTTTTTTTTTTTTTTTTTTTTTTTTT